GGAGCCGCGAGTCCACAACGGCTCGGGACAGTCGTAAAGGTGATTAGGAGACGTGGGTCGTTGCACCACGAGGTCGAGGATCGCCGAGCTGCGCATCACTTCAATGGCTCGCTCGAACGGAAGATCGGTAAGTCGTTGTCCGTTGCACCAAATTATCACGTCGCCGGCCTTCAGACCTGCCGCTCGCGCGGGACCACCTTCCCTCGTGCCCTAAAGGTGTGCTTTTTGTAAGCAAAACTAATGTCCTCCGACCATTGATTTCGCATAGAGAATGCGAACTTTTTTTAAAAATGTCGAATCCCATATATGAGTTCAAAGTAGATGAACCTTGTTGTCTTATTCAAATTTATTTTAACTCATATATTTTAATAATTAATATATGTGTATATATATTAATTAACCCAAAAATAGTTACAGGAGTGATTTTTATATCCCAGTAAAATGAAGTATAGTAGTTTTCTTTAGTAATCAGGAATCCATATCCATTTTTTAAATTTGTCCTTATTTTTTTAGAAAGTGTTTTTTAGAAAGTAAATCTATATACATAATGATCTCAAATATTAATACAATAAATTGTAGAACAATCAATAATATATAATAGGTAATTAATAACATTATATCATATGACTTTTAATTGGGGTGTACAAAACATCTCAGATGATCGTTTAAAATCATAAAAAAAATGAGGTGACTACTTCTTGGTTAAAAAATCTTATAAAAAAAGTTTATTTTAATTGAAATAGTTTTAGGAATAATTTTTAAAAAAAGATTTTAATCAAAGCAGGTTAATCTTCGCGATACCGAGGGAAAAATCTCACGAATGCCAGATGTTTCGTATGACATGACTACGTCCAATTAGAATGCTATTAACCTGAACAGTGAGACCAGGTACGATGCCTCTGCAAACGCCGCAGCCCAGACGGCCTTTCTCGCCAACGAGAATCCGAATTCTGACTTCTGCGCTCGGTACACCGCCTAAACCAGTTTCGTTGTATTGCAGCTGCTGTTGCTGCTGCTGCACCATGTGCCAGGTAACCGGATCGTTTGGATTGCTTTACAAGAATCGTAAGAGATTTTTGTAACGAGAGGATATCGATCGTGAAAAGAAGGGGAAATGCACGTACGCATGGTGCGCGCAAGGTTTTAATTAAGTTTCGATACTTACTCTTTTACGGGTATCATCCCAACGCCTGCAATACAAATCGTAAGCCATAAATTACCGCTATCAGCAACGAGATAGAGATTATTGCAACGCGCCGCGAGTATTACTGTTATTAATTATTTTTTCATCCGATCGCGAGGCTATCTCTACGTGGCACGTGGAATGAAAGTTTACATCCGAAAGATGTAACTTATACTTTGCAACAAAGATAATTAAGATGGAAACGAGATAGTTACTTCGAATTTTGAGCACCAGGACTTGCTGATTCTTTGCCAGGAGCGCGACCTCCTGGTGGACGGCGTCCTCCACCGGGTAACCATTCACCCTCAGGATTTGATCACCTACCTGAAAGCGGCAAGTCGAAAGCGAAATCGTTAAACGCAACGTCGATTAAAAAATTTATATTAAATTTGACATTTCACGTATTTTAAACGGTCCATTAAAATTTTTGTGTTAATTTAATACAAGATGAATATGTTAGACAATAACTCTAAGACTGTGTGTGTGGGGCTCAATTTTCAATTTAAGAGATCTCATTCTTTAGAATAAAATTCATTCTAAAAGTTCTAGAAAATAAATTTATGTGCAGATTGGTACGACGAAAGAAAAGGCAGTGATTAGAGATAAATACCCTCAATCCATTTCTATGAGCTTCACCACCCGGTTGAACGTCACTGACGTAAAATCCGGCAGCGTATTCGCGTCCACCTCGTAATGAGAAACCAAAGCCGGCATTACCGCGACGCCTCAATCGTACGTTTCTGGTCACGCCGATGACGGCCATCCTGCCGCCTCCTGCCGGGTTCCCAGGACCTCCACCGGTTGACGATCCCGTGCCGGCGCTTGACGCGCTGGAGGAGCCACCCGACCTGACGTAAAAAAAAAAAATGTATATAAATAATATCGTTTTCTTTGCTAGCTGAGCAAAGCTCAGCTAAAAAAAGCCAACGAAAATTCAATTATTTTTTAATTCTTTGTGGTCACACTTCCTGAGAATTTTATATTGGTCACACAAGGGGCAAAATGACCCCAACATTTTAAACGATTGCCGTATTTCCAGCATCTGTTCCTTAAAATCACAAAAATTACTGAATATACTTTAAATATTGTTAAATATGGAAATGCAGTGGCTTTTTAAAGCTTTTAATTTTAACATATTTAAAAAAATCGCAAAGGCTGACGTCCAAGGAACAACAGCGATTAAAGGTATAAGAAGGGTATTTTAAATTTCGGATAAATGACAGTTTAAGTCCCGTTTTAAAAAAAAACCTTAGAAATATAAAGCCTCACATCTTTTTGGGGTCCCTTGAACCCCAAGTGACTACGAAGGGTTAAAAGCTTTCAACAATTCAAAAGAAATTTCGAGACTACGTTACTCTGAAATATTCTAATTAATTTTGCAAATTAAATTTTATTCGTATATCTTTTTTTATTTCACGTATTTTTTATATGTTGAGAGATATTTATGTGTATTTTTGGAATATATTTCTGAAATATTTTCCTTTTCATTGTGTAAGTCGGTAAATATTTTCTCGGTTCCGCAGCCACATCCGTTGCTGCAGTACCATCGCGGTTTTATTTCACCTTCGCGAACAATTGTCTTGCAAAGATCCTCATTTTCTTCTCTCGCTTCGATGAACGAATGAGCGAGCGGATGGATTCCGTACCTTTGTTCGTCCCCCGCTATCCTTTTTCCACCGCGCTGCGAAATTAATGACCACACCTGGCGCGAGGAAGGAAGGCGAGCTGAGGAAGCGAACGTGGTGGCAAGGTGGAGGACTCGCGAGGAATTCCATGCTCGAAGGAGAAAGAGGAAGACGGATGAAGAATGACTTGGGCCGAGGCCAAACAGAGACACTCTGCTAATGACGCCGAGAATCCATCTTCGAGGGACATTCAAAAGATTGCATGCGACATGAAGCGGCAACACGGGTGCTGTAGGACACCAAGGGTGACACCGGGTAAATAACAGTCATTGATGGAAAAGGGAGGTTGCTCCAGATTGACTTGAAGGAAGCTGCTCCACAAAATCTTGTAAGAAGGATTCTCCTTCTCGTCATTCTATCGTACTTTCTTCGTGAAACAATGGCCGTGAACAATGGTGTTCCGATATACACCGCCAGTACTGAAAATCTACCCAAGCAGAACATAAAGCATGTTCAGCAAAATCTGGCTAGTCAATTCAAGGATAATTCCAGAACATCCCAGGAAAAAATCCTGGTTTTTCCAGAATTTGTCCATCGATTAATTTTTATTATTTAATTAATTTTCATCGATTCATGCAATATTATATGTTTTGCATTCAATTCAATGTTAGGATTCTATACGAATGAATTAAAACGCTAAATATTATTAATTATAATATTTAGTAATATTATAAATATAAAACAGTATTTTTTTATTCTTACATAGCATCATGTAAAATTTTATGTCTGATCATATTTGTCTTTTAAATAATTTTTCTTTCAAAACTTGAACTATTTTGATGTTGTGATGACTTTATCATGGTGTCCAGCAGTTTTTGAATATCCTTGGATCTCCTGAAATTATACTGGAATTTTATATATTCTGGAAAATTCCTGGAAAATCCCTAAAATTTCAGACTGGACTTGAATTTATCATTATTTAATGTTTTATTAATAAAATTGAGTATATTCATATTGGCAACAAAACATATAAAAGCTATGTAGAAATATTCAAAAATTTTCCTCGCATCTGTAAGTATCAATCAATAGAATTTCTTCATCAATAGTCATTTCTTATTATTGAAAGGTTTGAAAATTACGTTCATGTATACATTAATAATGTATAATAAACAATTTTCTTTAAAACGAGTCCTAACTGATTTGAATAACTTAAACTGTACTTAAACTATACTCAAGTAGAACAACGGGTCACGATAACAAATGTTATAACATTTGTTATCGTGACCCGTTGTTCTACTTGAGTATAGTTTAAGTACTCTCTAACTTCTATGGATTGGAATCTCGCTAAAAAGTGAAAATTGAACCAGTCTTGAAAAAGAGTGGCTCAATTTTCGAACTTCGAGAGTGAGATTTCACTCTTCAAAGTGAGATCCACTCTAAAAGTTTTAGAGAGACTTGAACTTGAACTATTTTCAATACTGGCAGAGTATATCAAAACACGGCCAATGTCTAGAGAAAATTGGAGCTCCACGTGCTATAATAGTGAGTCTTCAGGTGTTCGGAATATGAATTTTTGGAGCAGACATAGCCAGACGTGAGAACCCACATGGAAATCGGAGAGTCGCAGATTGCGCTCGGTCGTGGGATAATAACTATTTTATTCCGCGACCGCTGACATCAGCATCCCCGGAATCCCGCGTTGCGTAATAACAGCGTGGGATAACGCAATTTTATTTTAGCGCATTTAATCGTGCCCCTTTTTTATGTAATGGGATCCCGGGAGGCGTTCGAGCGCACCGCGACGATGGAAACAGCTGCGTGCAAAAGTCAAATTGCTACCTCATGCCGGAAGATCTATTATGCAATCGCGACGGGCGAGAGAGGACAATAGATGCACGTGGCGGTGTTCCTCGCGCGTGGGGATTCCGCGACAACGCGCGCGTCCGTACGGAAAGACGTACCGTTACGATCGTCGATATCACCGTTTGACGATCACGCCCTGAAAGTGTTACAGCTAACGCAAACGTCGCGCATACACACGTACACACCTTCCCGACCGTATCCGTCTGCGCTGGGTGACCCGCCCGTGTTACGATCGCGATCGTTGTGATACTCATATGCACGTATTAATCTGGGATTCAATATTCCGCTCACGAACTATGCTAATTCCCGCCTCCTAAGGGTAAAACGTGTCGAAAGAGCTAACGGAAGAAATTTCAACCAGGAAGATAGCGAAATGAAAAATAGGAGAATCGAGGAGACGATCTTTAGACAAAATTATATAGGAGCACAGAAAGAATAGTTTTGCTGAAGGATCTAAAAATTGAGCTAGATATAAATATGAAAAAAAATTGTGTTGGATTAATCAAATAACCATGTAGGACACTAAAAATAATTGCTAGAATGTCAAAATTTGTTGCAACATTGCTCATTATGTTTGAACGTCCAACATAATTATTTTTAAGATTCTTATTAACAGCAAATTATTAATAATTACAAGATGTTTATTAGCATTAAAATTATTAAATTTCTTACCAATTTAATATGTGACATTAATGTTCTGGTTCTGTTCATGATTAAGTACGTTTCAAGACTGAAAAAGATTTCGGCGTAGTTTGCAGAATTGTATATATGTAAATTCACATTAAAATACTTGGCACTAACAAGGAGAGGCTACACTCTGCTCTTCACCGATTTTGATCAAACTTGCAGCGAGGAGTCTACCAAATAAATTTTTCTAAAAAATGCGTATTTTCTGAGATATTAGACTGTTTCTATATTTTTGGTATATTTTTAAATGCTCATTACTCGACTTCTAAGGCCCATTAGCGGGCTTTATAGATCTTCATTTGGTAGGCTCCTCTAACATCGCTGCAAATTTGATCAAAATCGATGAAGAGTAGAGCGTAGCCTCTCCTTTAAGATCCGCTTTGACCGAAAATAGGATTATTTCTCTCAATCGGTTTTCATTCTCGTCGATCTAATACGAATTATAATAATAATTTTAATAATCCAACGATTACAATATAATAATCCAAAATTATTTTCGGATATATATTTAACTAAATTTTAAGGTACTTTAACAAACCGTTCTTTCCATACGGAGTGGTACTTAAAAACACGTTGTACCTTGGGATACACAATTATTTTGTTAGCAATAATGAGATTTTTAACTCCGCCGGCATCATGGGATGTTAAAGTCATCGATATTTGTATTGTAAATTTTGATATATAAATCTGTAAAAAAAAACAAACAAAATACAATGATCTCTGACTTCTATAATAATAAAAATTATAATAAATAAAAACTTGGTATTAAAGTTTTGACAAGTATATCAGAATTATTTTCAGATTTTTATATAATTCGGTACAATGAAAAAAATTTGCTGTTTCTCGAAAACCCTTATTGTTAACGGAAAAGTTAAAATTCTATGTTGTGGAGGATTAGTGTCGGCAGCTCACAAGTTATATTACTTCAGTTGAAGGATATAACTGAGGAGCCAATATTAAAAATTTCAATATTATTGAAAAAAGAATTAGTATACCTCAAGGTACAACATGTTCCTGGATACCACAGTCTTCTCTATTCACTTACGAAAGATTAACCAAGAAATCTCCGAAATGAAGAACTCATTGAATAGCGTTACATTTCTCTCACGCCATTATTCTGAGTGTTAGTTACGATACTCTCGGATTCGTCATGTCTGAATTCTGACACGTGTAAAATATAACAGGACATTTGTGATTTACCGATTACAAATTCTGTTTGCGTTTTATGTTAATCGGTGTCGAAGGGACGAGTTTGGGTCAGAGGTTTGGTGAGCCAGGGCATTCACGTACGAGAAATGCGTTTCGTTTACTTATTATTAAACTTTGCCTCTCACTGTTATCACAGTCAATTTTTCTTATTTCCCATCAAAGTTCGCGCGCCGCGATATTTATTATTGCTATTAAATTTCTGCTCGTGTATCATGGTAATAGTATGGTAATAGTGAGACATGAAGGATGCGAGGAACGTCCAGCTCGCCGACAATGCGGAGAAAGTTGATGCAAGGCTGCAAAGAACACGGAAAGGCACGCCCTGACGAGTGTTCTCGTCCTTTCGACTCTCATGACCGTAACTCTGACTTATTCCTCGTTGCTCGCATATTGTACAAATGGGAAATAAAAACTAAAGAATCTTTTTAAGATCCAATGGGTTTAGCTTCTTTAAAAATGATCAT